TTCGGTGTATCAGTTAATTCATGCGATATTAAATATTGAAAATACCATGTTTTCGCCAAAAAAAATTACAAATTAATAATTATTTTAATAACGGTGAGAGATAGGTATAGAACATGGTTCACAAAAGTAATTTGGATTTCGATGCAGAATTCATAAATGATATAATATATAGGGTGTTCTATTTGAAATTTCCAAGTTGATGTCTGTTACATGTAGATGTGGCAACAATGCGGTGATGAAAATATTTTCAAACGATAGATCTCAGCCATCGACATCGGTAACCAAACTTTGAAACTCTCATCTTTTTTTATTCTCTAGATACGTCTAATAGACCATCGTATATGGAATACCCTGTATTTATTCCACTTCAACACTCCCACGTGGACATCCGGTCCACCCCGGCCTCCAACCGGCGTGAATGGGAGCAGGTGTTATATATTTATTCCACTTCAGCACTCCCACGTGGACATCTGGTCCACCCCGGCCCCAACCGGTGTGAATGGGATTCACAAAAATTTCTTCTTGGGATACTTCTGTGTTCTATTTCTAATAAGCTTTGTTACCATGTCCACACCATGATGCAATAAAGCGTATTCTCCCTATCTCAAATGATCCTCACAACAGATACTACATCAATGGTTTGGGTAGAATGGAACCGCAGATCCACATCATTAATGTAATTTCTGCTGTGAAGAGAACTAGACAAAAAGCTTTGTCACAGTTATATCCGGCTATAGAGGTTTAAAATGTTTTCCTTAAGATATTGAAGCTCCTTGTCCAGTCTGTTTTTGAAAGTGTTTTTATTATAAGCTGTTAGTGTTTGCTCATGGAGACAATCCAGAAATAACCGCCTCGTCGACTAAAGAAATTTCTGTATAGTTTCAGGTTTCCACAATTTACTCTTGCGTTATCAAAATTTTTTCTGGTAAATATGTGGACTGTTGAAAGAATAAGGTGAACGTTCAAATTTCCCGGGCTACATACTAGGGTGGCTGCAAAAAATCGAAGTCGGAATTTTGTTCGTCTGGACCCCACAAAATGATTCTCCTTTCCAGATATTGAGATAGCCGAAATTTGGGCTCGATTGAACGACGTTAACCCGTGCCGCTCGTCCCTCAAAGTTTGAAAAAAAACCCAAATTTTCGGCCAAAAAGCTGACATATGGAACCATAACTCCAGAACGATGAATAATAAAAACACGTTTAGTATCTCAAAAGAAGGCTAATGTTGTTCTTCAAAATTTGTATTTTATTTTAAGTCAAACCGAGTTACAACAGCTTTTAGCCCCAAAAACGTGACCTGGTACCACTATCAGTACTACATGAATTGATAATTTTACATAGTTATCTAATCTATTCTAGAACTTTTGTTAAAGTAGTTTTTGAAACGTCAGAATATAATGCCCGTCATTTTCTTACAACTTGCACGTCATATTGCTTTTGGTCTTCATCTTTTGTCAGAAGGTTGTTGAAGTCGGTTATTAATTTAACACCACGCTCAGTCATATCATTAACTACTTTTAATAATTTGACAGATGTTTGGATGTTGTCTTAGGAAATCTGTTTTTATATTAAATCGGTCAAATAATGTAAACGTTTGTAATGTAAATGTAAGTAAATTAACCAATCCTCCATCAACTACCTCTTTTAATTTTTCTTTCCTAACTTTGGGATTTACAACCCTAGCGTGCTCTGATGGTTCATCTGTGGTACTGAGCAATATACAGGGTGTTGATTAAGTATGTACCATAAATTTAACAGACGATTCTTTAGGTAATTTTAAGACGAAATGTTCATATAAACATGGGTCCGCAAATCCTTCGTTCTCAAGATACGTAAGAACGTGATTCAATTTATTAAATCCAGTGGCGTCTCGAGTCACTGGACGCCACTCGAGTCACCCAAATCGAATATTGTTTACAGATGAAGCTTATTTTTCTCTCAATTCAATTATTAACTTCCACAACAATCACATTTGGGCCGAAATGTCGTCAAATTCTTTATAGTCTACCAGACTATGCAAAATACCTAGCAAAATACCTAAATCTTGCTTTGGTGCAAGATGAGCTTTTGGAGCATTGAACCAAGCTTTACAATAAATTTCAACCAGGAAAACAGATATTTAGACATCTCAAATTGACGACAAAAAATGAAAATTTTCAAGCAGTAAATAGCCTTTGCCATCCACCTAGCGTGATGAATGGCTCCTGGAATTCAAAAAACCCACAACGTTGCTATATAGTGATCCAACAAATACGATAACCTACTGCAATAGCTCCTTGTAGTCATCTCTGGGGTGGCTCTCACTTAATTCAGTGTCGAATTCAGCAGTACCATTTGCAATTATTTCTGGAGTTAGCTGCTTTTGTATTAGATTGTCACTGATACTTGTGTCGTATTTTCCTTTGTCTGTCTTGGACCACGCAGTGAGGAGTCTCTTAAAATATGTGTGGATGAGGTCCAGTGGTTGATCTCATTTTTGTGTCGAATACGCCTCTTAAGAGAATTTCCAAGATATGGTGAGGGCAAGCTAGATATAACAATTCTCTTCCTAACATTTGCTTCAATATTACGCATGCTCCTTTGAGTCTTCCCGTGTTGGATGCTGTAGTTTCAAAGTACATCGCCTTGACGGTATTGGAAAGACCCCATTCATGTAGGCATTCATATACCGCTTCGGCTTGCTCCTCACCAGAACTGTTTGCTGTTTTAGCAACTCCCAGCAGCTGTTTCCTTTTGCCATATGAAATAGCAATAGCTTTTCGCTCACATTGTTCATTATTTAAAACACCCAGTAAAAGTTTACCAAAGTTTACTGAATTCTTTTGCATCTAGAAGAAACAATATTGGTCCCAAATTGGAACTTCGTTGAATACCTAACCTCATTTTTACTTCCTTATAGTTAGTTGTCAATTTTTATTGTTGTTTTTGTAATGAATAATTAAAATAAAATCACATGTTTTGATTTCTTGACTTGCATTATGTGGTCAACCATCTTAATGGTGCCCCACGCAAAATAGTTGTGTCGCCACTGACATGTTAAATTATTTTAATCCATTTATCAAACAAAAATGTGGCAAATTTACAAAGAAAGGAAGAAAGAAAATAACTTAAATCAAAATTGTCTATAAATATATGTAGAGTATACACAGACGTTTCTTTCATACACAAACTGGAAGAAAAAAACCCCGTCTAAACAACTACTTTCATATGAACATTGAATGCCACTCACATGAAACGCTATCGTCTTCATTGTGAGAGATATTTTATATCAGTTCCTTTCATATGTCACATTGTGTAGAGTTCCTATCTTTCAATTTCATAACAAATAATGTTATGGAAGTAGGGTTTCTTCTTCAAGTTTGTATCTAAAAGAAATGTCTTGTGTACACTTACATACCTTTATGAAGAGTCAGTTTCTTCCTTTTCTTTTTTTCAATTCATATTTGATCCAGTGTGATCCAAAAGTCTCGGTAAAGTTGAATTGAGAATTATTTCCAGTTCCAACAACTTTCTCAATTGAAACCCATATTTTTATCACAGAAAACCTGAACCCCTGGTATTCTTTACCGCTTAGATCAACCTGTATGAAATTTCTTGATAATATTTCAGGCCATATTCATTCTTTATTTTTCAGTTTTCGATTATTTTCAGCCTGAAAGTTCCATCCGGTTCCACCACAGAGTTGTCCTACAAAGGTCAGATGTTTCTCACACATTTGTTCGAAAGGTATGACAAAGATCGCGACAAAGCTCTGTCACCTCCCGAGTTCGAGGATCTATTCTCCATGTGCCCAACGCCTGCCTGGAGTCCAGACGTCGGCTCCATGGTCTCTACCAACGAAAAGGGTTGGATCACCTTTGAAGGGTACATGTGCCAATGGGCGTTGATGACTCTAGTCGATTTGCCGAGGACTCTGGAATATCTCGCTTATTTAGGGTATAATATTTATGAGAACGAGAGCCAGACGACTGCAATTCAAGGTTAGTAGTTTATTTATTTGAATTAGGTTCATCAGACTATATAGCTTTATTATGAAAAAATGCGCCATTAGCTCCGAAATTTATTTCGTTTATTTATCTTTTGATAATGTCATAGGTTCTTATTTCTCATTGGAAATTATTCCACTTATGACACCATATTTACCTTATTACACCACAATGGATCTGTTTGAAAAAATCTGTTTAAAATCTGTTTTTCCGTTAATCAGCTGTCGCCCCCATACGAACGACAATTCTCAGAAGTTGAGAAACTTGTGCTAGCTAAAGACTAACGAGGTCTTACCTTTTAACGTGTGATTCCTAACACGGTTGTAGAATCATCCCAGCTTCAACCAGATAAATTCTCTCGAAAAAAATATCTGCTCGAGGCGGGAATCGAACCCACGGCCTTCCGATTGTGAGTCGGGCGCACTACCACCGCGGCCAATTCTACAATCAGAATAAGAAATGAAGGGATTAGTTGACATTACTGCTGTTATAGTGTGAAAGTTATTTTCTGTTTTTTTGGCCGTGGTCTGCAAGTTTTATGCCTGACGTTTCGTCTATTACTGCGGTAGACATTATTAAATGCGATGTGGGTCGTTTATTGTCTCTTCTTTTCTATTTAACTTATCTCTGTGTTTTTGAATTTCTATTGCCTCTCTATATACTCTTGGCAGCTCAATAATTCGAAATATAAGACTAACTCTCGTTAACTCAAGATTCAATGTTTCATTCATTTCTTCTGCTTTCCGTATTGTAAAAAAATAGAAAAGGGGTTGTTTAGAAAAATTGTTTCGGGTATCTGTTACATTTCTAGATACATAATTCAGGTTTTTTTTATTATTAAAAATACAACAACAGCGTACAGTTCAACACAGTTAAGACACTATAAATATAAAATATGTTGTTATGCTCCCTAATCAGCAAAAATGCTGGTCTCGGGATTCACAAACATTCAATATGACAAGTGAAACACAAAAACTAGTAAACCACTACTAAGCTCATAGTACTAACACATCAGACATGTGTCTTGAGGCTCAGATGTTCTTTTAAACTATTGATGAATGAACTATAGCCTGGCAACTCACGTATATGGACAGCTAATTCATTGAAGACTTTTATAGCCTGTGTAATAGGGTTGTATAATCTTTTGTTCGTTCTTACCATGCTCAGGTGTAAGTCATTTCTACCTCATGTATTATACTCATAAAACTGGTTGTTGATTAGTAGATCGTTGTTGCTTTTGATTCTTTTATTTTTTATTTTATATATGTTCTTGCATTGCTCAATTTTAAGTAGATATTTAATTGGGTGTAGTTCAGTTTGTGAGAATAAATCATTTGTTTGGTTTGAAATAAATTTTTTATTGATTTATTTTGTAGCGTTTGATTTATTTTGTAGCGTTTTTGAAATTAGTAATGCCCCAATTACCCCATATGATTAACAGATACCTAAGATTCGCCAATATATATGCATTGTAAACCAAGTGTCTATTTAATTGCCTCAGCTAGAGCATCCAATGCGCTTATTGGTAATTGTTCTAAAATTTTTATAGATATTTTATCCCAACCAGATGCTTTCTTGTTTTTTATTTCAGCAAATGCTTCTTTCAATTCCTGGCGGTCTGTGGGACTAAGGAAGAAGGTGTCGTGGACTGTTACATTTCTCATGTAGTTCATGGGGTCTTCCGTGACTGCTATGGTTTTAGATATGGTTTTGTTCTCACCAACAGCGACAAACTGGGATATTTCCTTCAAAAGTTTTGCCCCTTATACCCATGCAACATAGTTTTTTCAGAAGTGAAGTATGGTCAACAATGTCAAATGCCTTTCTTAAATCAATAACCACTGCAATAACCATTCTTTTTTTTTCTAATTCCGATGTAATATGAATGAAATATATTGTGGCACTTAGAGTGCTGCTAATCTTGATAAAACCATACTGATACTCATCAAGTCCCACATAACGATCAACAAAGTCCATTATTCTTGTCTTTATTATATTTTCAGTAATTTTAGAGAAGGAGCACACAATTGTTATAGGTCTATAATTTTCTAAGTTTTTGTTATCACCACCCTTAATTTTCTGATTGATTCGGCCGTTACTTGATGAAGATCCATAGTAATTTCATTAATCACTTGAAAAAGCTAATGTTTAGCGAAACATGTGATATATTTTTTCAATGAAGTTTGTGGAGATCAAATCGTTTAGGTGTTGTTTGTGAAATCACCACCCTTAAATATTGGTATTACTTTTCCAGTCTTCAGTATCCCAGGAAATACCTCCGCTTTGAAAATATTGTTTATCAAATTAACAAGTATGGAACTGACATTTTTTTCAAATAATATTATGTCTCTAACGGATATGTTGTTGTGCCCTGCTGCAGAGTTTTTATTGAGTGCAACTATGACTTCAGATACCTCTTTAGCATTGGTTTCCTTTGGGAATAATGAGCTGCCAAACAATAGTTCAGTCATTTAATTCGGAAATAATTTGATATGATGCAAGGTAAGATAATATAATTTTTTTGCAGTAACCAGAGAAAAAAAATTAGATTTGGCCAAAAAACAGTCCAGCAGAAACGTATACCAGTGTCATGTCATAGGACCAACTGGATCTGGCAAGTCTACTCTCTGTCGAACTTTTGTCAAATCGAATTTAGATGTAAGTGTATATCTTTGATTTATTTGTACATACTGTAATGTTCCTTAAGCATGGGAAACCGTACATTTTATTGGTAAACAAAAGAGTTTTTAAATAATGTTTGTATTTCAGCCGAAAAATGCTTTTGTTGAGAAGACAGGAACTCCAAATTGTACAGTTAATGTAGTTCAAGTTTACGGACAAGAAAAAATAATGATACTTAGGGATATCAACGTGAGGAGCGTGTCTGATCCCTTGTTACCTCATGAAGTGCAATGTGATGTCGCATGTTTAGTGTATGACATAAGCAATGAAAAATCTTTTGAGTACATAGCTCGGATATATATCGTGAGTAAAAATTAATTCGAGGAATCATTACGTATATTTTTTTGGGGTTTTGGTTTTATGAATTTTAATGAAAAATGAAACTTCCTATGTTTTTGTACCGCTTGTATTTGTAAACTAATGTTACTGCAATTTCGTCCTATAAGGACATTTTTAAACGAATACAATGAACTATCCTTATAGGACGAAATCGTAGTAAAGCTAGTTATAAACACAAGCGATATAAAAACATAGAAAGTTTTATTTCTCATATTTCATGATGATTTTCTACCACACAGTTATTGGAATTATGACCTTTTCTCTATTTCTCTGATTTCCATTAGTGATTTTTCATTTTTGATTTTTTTTTTTTTCAATACATACTGGGTGTTTATTAATCCAGTCGGCAGGTCGTGTAAAAGGAGTGTCACGACGAAAAATTCCCACCTTAATGAAATTTTAGTATGTTGTTTACACATGTTTAGTGATGTCAAATTCAAGTTTTCGACCTCGAGGAGGTTGTGAAAAATTTTTGGTGGCCGTTTGACAGCTATGACTAAGTATGAGTACAATGGAATATAAAATATAGCGAATCTAATATATAAAAATGGATGTTTGTTTGTTGGTTGGTTGGTTGGTAAGTGATAAACTTCTACATCGCTCAACCGATCGTGATGAAACTTGACATGTATAAGTAATTTTTCATAGAGGTTTTTAGGCTATTAATGTTTCTGTAACTCGCCACTAGATGGCGCTGTAGAACAATTTTTTTTGAAAGCACTGTTCTATAACGCTGCGCACGCTTAAGTTCGTTGACTCTGATTCTGTCAAAACATTAGAACAGCAGCGATACAGCAACATAGTACTAGTAGCATATAAAATCAGCAGAGTAATAGAGTAGTATATTATGTGATACATTCATATAATAATAAAATTAAAAAAAACATATACTGTAGAATTCTAAAGGAATTGGCAGTGTGCAGAGAGTTGAAACACAGTATTTCACTTATGGGTTGTAATTAGATTGTAGTTCGACTTGCATAAAAAATAGTTTGTTACGAATTATATATTTGAAGTGTCCAAATGGAACAACAAAAATATCACATCCCGAATAGAAACTATTATTAATTTTATAGATGTTATTAACTGGGGATTTTATTGACACGTTGATCCTAGGCAAAGGCAAATAGAAAAATATTTCGTTTCTACTGCTTCTTCTCGGAACGTGAAAATCTAGTAGAGATAACAAATCTGGGCAGTCAACCAGATTATGAATCAATGTATATGTGAAGTTCTTCTGTTTTCTAAGGATAAGGAGGCAAATCTATTTAGCAACACTCTATTATCAATTCCTTGGGAATTGTTTTGTTTGTAATTGATTACCTTTATTTTTCATTCCATTCAAAATATTCCACAAAGCATATCAGCTTCTTGTTTGAAAAAAAACTTTAGTTGAATCAACTCTGTATATACATATAAAATGGAATAATTAAATGTAGTTGTAAATAATTATAGTTTATGGTATGTTTGTTTGTTGTATGTTTCAGGATATTACCTCACAAATCTAATCTCCTTGACGGTTGGATACTACCTTTTCCTGGATCGGATCGTTCAGTTATGACGAGGACGCAGAGATACTTCTATGAGAACGAATCTAAGAGACCAATCCAAGTGAACACATATTTTGTTGTAAAGTCGATATTTCTCATAATATTATTTGCTATTGGTGGCGCCATCTTCAGCATTTTGAGTAAATTCGAATGTGGCAGAAAATTATTATTGGATGTAAGTTATTTTATGTTTTTTGAAAAAAAAATACCGGCTGCCCCTGCAGGAAAGCTCCTTCACTTGTGCACCTCCACGGAGGGAACCCCAAGAAGGTTGAAGAAGCCGTGCAACGACAGTGATATCGCTGTACCTTCCAAAACCTTCGCGGAAGCCACAGTGAGACACCTCAAGGTTGCCAAAGCGAGTGTGTGTTCGGCGAGTCTCGGCTTATAGATAGATAGATAGATAGATATATTTTCGCCACATTACATATATAAATACATTTATGGCATGTCAATATATTAATAGATACAATATAAAGTACACAATGAATAAAATATACCTGCCAATATTAAGGAGATGTCTCCTAGTGATCTGTTCACCTTCCTGTAAAAGACAGGATGGACGATGACCTAGGAGGACAACTCCTCGGGAGGAGGAGTGAGTCTCCACTCAACTTCCCTACTCTACAGATACCAGAATGTCTACCGCAGTAGTAGACGAAACTTCAGTCATAAACTGAGATCTCACGGAATAACTTTCGATTGTAATTATACAACTTTTACACTAGGTTAGGTTAGGTTAATTCCAAAGTGAGTGGGTCTATTCGAGCCTCCACCGTAACCCGCAAGGGTTTCTTTTGGCTCACACCTCTACACACTCGGCCAAATCTCCTTCCGTCCAGCTGTTCAATGTTTGTTTGGCACAAGCTAAAACGATGCCAATGACGGCTTTTGGTCCAATAAAGCTGCTTGCAGCTCCCTTTGCAAGGGAGTCAGCAGCCTTATTGCCTTCCAGGCCAGTGTGGCCAAGAATCCACACCAGAGGCACTTTGTCTAGTCTTCCTATTGTGGAGAGTCGTTTTTGGCAATTTGCTACCAATTTAGACGTTGCTCAGTAGGAGCCAAGAGCTTCCAACGCCGCTTGACGGTCCGAGAATATTTTCATTGACTTGTGTATGAGGTTGGATTGTTCCAATCTTTCCGCACACAATTCAATAGCATAGATTTTCGCTTGAAATACAGTCGCATAAGTTCCTAGGCAGGTTGATTTCTCTGTCCTGGGTCTGCGACTGAAAACACCTGTTTCCTTCTCCCGAAGGATCCAGTCCTCTCGAGGCATCGAGTAATGGGGCTGTGTATTCTTAATATCAATTATGAGGAAAAATATAGTGTCTTTGAATTTTGTAAATCATTTTATCCGACTCATATTTCAGTATCCCGAATTATTCAGTCTGGGAGCGTTCAGCAAGAAACAGCCTTCAGAAGAAAAAACAGAAAATACTTGGTTCCAATTGACATTGTATGGAGAGGGATGGAGTGAACGCTTAGAAAATGAGCTTGATAACTATACCACGCCATGTGATAGGAGTATTGTAGGAAAAGTCAAGGGAAGGAATCCTGGTTACGGTGCTACCTGTATATGTTTGGTTAGTGCCGCTATTGTTGTACTCACAGAGAGTGACAAGATGCCGGGAGAGTAAGTAAAATTATGTGTGTGAGTGGATATTCTTTTTAGACTTGAGTGTTCTTGAAGTTACATATTTTTTTTGTAGTTTTTCAGTGTTAAAAACAATGTGATACCATATTTTTATTGTTGCAGAGGCGGAGTACTTCCTCCTGGAGCAGCATTTGCAAATACTTCCCTCATCAAACTACTCAATGAAAATGGTGTAACTTTTGAGATCGTTTCTCAGAAGAGTATATAATAACCATCCATCTTATGCTTTATGTTTACATACCTGTTGAAGGTTGATACCTCTTGTATTTCTATTATAACTGTTGTTTGGATCGTTGTGTTATTTTATATTATATTATATTATTCTGTCAAAACAT